AGTGGCTCCCCATTTCACACAGAGTCCTTCAACTTACTTAAAGGACCTATACCTTATTTTCTGCTCTTTTCCTCTGACCTCATCTTCTACTCCTCCTCCCTCCCTTGCTCACTTCCCTCTAGTCACAGTGGCCCCCTGGCTGTTGTTAGAACCTGTCACTCCCACTCAGGGCCTTTGCACTAACTATTCCTTCTGCCCCAGATATGGCTAACTCCTTCACTTCCTCATTCCCTCACTTGGCCCAAGTATCATCTGCTCAATGAGTCCTGCTGTTGCCATATTAAAATAGCAACCTCTTGGCACCTGAGTGACTCCGTTGGTTAAACTCTTGATTTCAGCTCAAGTCATGATCTCAGGGTCCTGAGACTGAGCCCCACATTGGGCTCTGTGCTGGGCATGGCTCCTGCTTAAGATTCTTTCTCTCCCTCTGCCCCTATCCTACCCCTCTGTCTCAAAAAATAAAAATAAATAAAATAAAATAGTAACCTCTTCCTTTATCACTCTCTCAGTCCTCTGCACTACAGTCTACCTATTCCTTTTTCCCTGGCACATATCTTCTAACATACAGCATTACCCTTTGAATTTTATTACTTGACACTTTCATTAGGATATCAGCTTTCTATATGATTTATTCACTGATGTAACTCACATGCTCAGAACAGTGCTAGTAGTTAGAAGGTAAAAAGTAGTTGAATGAATAGATGAATGACTTATAAATGCAAAGACACATTTTTTATTAAAATTCTCTATCAGAGCTTTTGGTTCTAGTTAAAATGGGACAACACATTCCACCTTCACTCTCCAACTGATTACAACTCAAAACCCTGTGCAGAATATACAAAGCAACTATCTTAGGACTCTGAAAACTTAATAAGAGCAGGTCAACTGGGTAAGAAACAGAAATTCAAAGAACCATATGGTGATGGGTTTGCATTTAATTTTAATTTCTAGCCCTGTTTTTTGGTTTGCACTGAGTTTTAATTTCTAGCCCCCACTGTCCCCTGGCTTAGATTCTAATATGTAGAGACATAAAAGTTCCAAGAAAACACTCACTCTACCTTATCAGAGTCCCTTGGAAAGGGGCAAGGAGGGGTGACTGTTAGACAAAGTTATTTTGATTCTCCTGACCCCTCCTGAGGACAGCCTTAGTGTGGAAGCTGCAGTGAGGAAGCAGATGCTGGGGTAGTGGGCAGTGGGGAAGGCAGCAATGCTGGCACCCTCGCAGATTCTTCCTTCTAATCACTTTGCTCTGAGGCAAGCGCAGAAACGGGAAGTACATGAAGATGTGGGAAGGCAAAGGCCTACATTTTATAGTCAGATCACTGAAAAAAGGTGCCCCCAGAAACAAGAGTAAGCTCAAATAGCTGAAACACTTTTGAAAAAGAACCTTATAGAGCTCACACAACATGATCTAAAGTCTCACCATAAAGCTACAGTGATCAATACAGTGTGGGACTGCCAAAGGGTAGACACACAGATCAACTGAACAGAACAGAGAGCTCAAACATCGTTTTACACTAATGTGGCCAACTTGTACTCTGACAAAGGTACAGTGGCAATTCATTGGAGATGGGTAGTCTTTTCCAAAGATGGTGCTGGGAAAATTGGATACCTGAATGTCAAAAGATATAAACTTCAATGTACATTTCCCATCATACACAAAAACTAACTCAAAATGGATCATACACTTAAATGTAATATATAAAACTAAAAAAAAAAAGGGAGGAAATCTTCAGAACATTGGGTTAGGTAAAGATGCTTAGATACAATACCAAAAGCATGATCCCCGAAGGAAAAAATACTGATCAATTGGAAGAGAAATAACCAATAAACTTTTACTCTGGGAAAGGCACTGTTAAAATGAAAAGAGAAGCCATAGATTTGAAGGAAACACTTTCAAATAACGTAACTGACAAATGATTTACATCCAGAATATGTAATGAACCTCCAAACACCTTCATATAAAAATTTTAAGAAGTTCAGACAGTCATTTCCATGTGAAAAGATATACAGATGATAAATAAGCACAAGATAAGATGCTGAACATCACTGGTTATTAGGGAAAATGCAAATGAAAACTGCAATAATATATTACTACATGCACAGTTATTAGAATGGCAGAACAAAGTAAATGGACTAGGCAAGTGTTAGTAAGGATGCAGAGTACCTGGACTGTCCCATATGCTAGAGGGAATGCAAAATGGTACAACCACCCAGAGAAAACAGTTTAGCCATGGCTTACAAAGTTGGGCTTACCTCTGCATATGACCCAGGAATCCTACTCCATGTATTTCATTGGAAGATAACCAAAATGTATGTCCATACAAAAACTATAAACAAATGTTTATGGAAGCTTCATTCACTATCACCAAAAAGTAGAAATAATGCAGTGTTTCATTGGGCCACAGGATAAAGCAACTGTGTTACATCCATATGAATAAACAGTGCGCAACAATAAAAAGGAACAAAATTATTTATATGTACAACAGCATGGATGAGTCTTAAATGTAAATGAAGCCAGTCTCATGAGAGCACATATTGCATGACTCCACTTAGATGATATTCTGGGAGCAGAAAAGCTATATGGATGGAGAACAGATCATTTGTTTCCGAGGATTAATAGTAGAGTAAAAAATGAACTATAAAGGGGCATCATAAGAGAATATTATCGTGGTGGTGGTGGTTATATTAACCTGTATATATGTTGAAACTCATGGAACTGTATGTCAGAAAAAGGTGGAATTTACTGTAGGTAAATTTTAAAAATATTTTAAATTCTCTGCCATAAATATGAAAATACCTGATAACCCTGAGAAACTTACTCAGGACCCACAATATCTAATAAGCAATCCAGAGCTGTATATTATTTGGATAGCACAGTAAGAATACCAATATAACAATATTTTTTCTACTTGTTATATAGCCAGAAGGAAAAAAGTATCTAAATTTCTAGTATTTTAGCTTTTAAAACTAAGCTTTATGATTTTAGCTGTCCTCAGGTATTATGGAAGAGGCATAAACCATCTCAAGGAACTGGCTTGTTGTTCAAGAAAATCAGTGGTTTTATCTAGTGTTCACAATAGAAAACCTCAGGAGTCCCTCTCTCCCAAATTCTCATCTTCAATTCCACTCATCAACTCTACTCATTTTGGAAGAAGGAAGCAAAGGAGAATGAGGACCAGATTTTGTTGCATTAAATAATCTGGGCACGGGGAGTATTTTAGGTAGCATGGTCAGTGATGGCCTTTGTGTAGAGCTGTCACTTGAGCAATAGCCTAAGAGAAGAGAAGGAGAAAGCCATGGTAAGATCTTGTAGAAGAGCATGGCAGGGGGAAAAAAGCATGCACACAGATCCTAAGGAAGGAAGGCATGTGGGTGTACAAGGAAGAGCAGGAAGGTGAGTGTGGCTTGTGGAGAAGGGTCCAGGAGGTGGGCAAGGGACAAATCATACATGGTCTTGTAGAGCATGATGAAGAGTTGAGATTAATATTCTGAGTGAGACTAGTAGCTGCGAAAGAACTGTGAACTGAGGAGTGATGTGATGTGACTTAGGGTTTTATATGTTCACCAAGGCACCTGTGTGGCTTTACAGACTTAGAAGCCAGAATGGAATTAGGTAGATAGTATTATGGCTGTGTTGGTCTAACAAAGGGTTATAGTGGCTTTGACTAGGGAAGTCATGGTGGAGGTGATGAGAAGGAATGGGATTCTGGGTATATCATGAAGTGAGAGCTAAAACGTCTTGCTGATGGAATTGTAGAGAGAAAAAGAACAGTCAAAGAGGGTTGTTAAATGCTTGGTCTGGGCAAGAGGGTAAATGGCAGTATCAGTTACTAATGTGGAAAAGAGCTGAAAGAAACAGACGTGAGTGGAAAATGAAGACTCTGCCTTGGACATATTTGATTTGGGATGCCTATCAGACATTCATATAAAGATGGTGACTGGGCAGCTGGATACATGAGTCTGCAGGAGCCCAAGAAAGAGTTTGGACTAGAGGTAGTGTTTAAGGCCATGAGTCTAGCTGAAGTCACAGCAGTGAGAGAACATGGACAGAGAGTAAGACTCAGGACTCTCCCTTTTTCACCCCTCAGGAGAAAAAGTCAGCAGAGAGGCTGAGAGGGGGTAGCCAGTGAAGTAGGGGAGACCTGTGAGACTACTGATCTATAAGCCACATGGAAAGGAAGATGAGCCAACGATGACTATTGAATTTGCATTGTGATGATCAAAGGAATCCAGGAACAGTTCCAGAACTGCCAGACAGTGTGGCAGGTACCCCCTAGGTTGCTGTCATAACCTGTGTGTCAGTTCCTTTGAGATTGGGGAGCAGTGCCCAGCCTGGGGCAGGTGGAGTGGGTACAGGCCAGTCATGAGAGACCCAGTATTCAGGATCTTAGCATTCAGCAGGCTGGAAAACCAGAGTCTGTGTGACCAGGAAAATCTCCAAGACCAAGCACAGCCATCTTTAGGGAAAGAGGAGAGGGACAGAACATGCTGGGTTTCCCAAATACAGGGCACTGGGATGTAAACAGGTTCACTTGAATATTAAAGGAGATGGTGATCCCCTCTGGCTAGAAGATTTAAGACACCAGGACAGTTACATTTACAGAGAAGAAAGAAATATCTTTTTTTTTAAGGGAAAAGCTAAATATAAGAAGTTTAGAATACCATGTGACAATGTCTTAGTTTTAATTAACTTTCAGAATTCAGCACATTTCTAAAAAGATAGACTTTCCTTTCTAATCACACTGAGCCAGTTTTTTATACTTGTCTCATATTTTTTTCCCCAAGAGCAAGTTATATCAAGGCACCTACGACCCACAGGGAAAAATTGGCAATATTCTTTTTTAAGTTCATCTGCCAAGAACCCAACTGTTTAAAGCAGCAGTTCTCTCTAGTTTTCTGTAACTAAATGAGAACATTAAATTCTGAATGTATCTCTCTACAAAAGCCATACAGAGCACCCTCTCCTTTCTCTTATATAAAAAATACAGGATGATTACCTGATCCCGTAGAATGAACATCTGAAGAGCCACCTGTGAAGGGAGATTCAAAATGAAATAACACTGTTAAGAGAGTCACTCAAAATAGAGTAGAAAAGAAGTTGAGGAAATAGAGCCTATGCACCTCTTCTGTTTCAATTTCCGGAACACCATGAACTTTTTACTTTAATCAGCTACAACTCCACCACTTCTTGGAACACATCCTTCTACTTTGGACTGAACTAAAGATAATGTAACACCTGTTAGTTTAAACCCTGCCAGCACCAATCTTAATCCTTTCAAAACAAGTTATGTAACTTGGGGTAGTTTGCCTTTATAAACCTGAACTTCTGCTAGCAATTTGGAGGACACTTTTGATTTCATTGGACTTTGTGTCTCCAGGATTGTAATCCCCAAAACTCCAAATACCTACTTTGGTTTCTTTATAGCCTCTTTTTCATTGACATGCCTTTTAAAAGTTGACTTAACATTATTCTTCAGCTACCATATAAAATACTCAAAGTCTACTAGAATTTTTAAATAATCTAAGCATACGGATCATTCTCATTACCTTCTATAATAATTACCACTTACAGTAAAAAATTAATAATGTGCTGAGTGGTTTGTAGATCAGCTAGAAACAGATCTTTCTGACTGGTGTTTAGAATTCAGCTGCAAAATTGAATGAAATATAAATACAACAAAAATACATAAAAATGAGAAATGAGATTTTAAAAAACAAAATCAATTTCCCTATTGCTAAATATTGAATTGTGTTCTCCCAAAATTTATATGTTGAAGTTCTAACCCTACAATGTGACTGAATCTGGAGATAGGCTTTTAGGAGATCATTAAGGTTAGATAAGTCATAAGGGCAGGGTCTAACCTGATAGGGCTGGTGGCCATTATAGGAAAGAGAGAGGGAGATCACTCTTTCTCCATTTGCATACACCAAAGAATGGCCATGTAGGGACACAGCAAGAAGCCAGCCATCTACAAGTCAGGAAGCAGAGCCTAACCAGGACTTAGAAAAAATAAATTTCTGTTGTTAAGCCACCAAGTCTATGGTATTTTGTTATGGCAGCCCAAACTAAGATACCTATTAAGAAGATTTGACTTTTATTTTTTTACATTTTATGTAAAAATGCGGAGTTAAATACTAACTAATAAGTAGTAATGTTTTCACATACTTCTATTATTTTTTCTGGGAAACAAACAGTTGTAAATTAAGTAAATTTCTTCCCCCAAGATTTCCTGGCTATAGATCACTTCTTTCATACACTGTGACCCCAACAATTTCCCCTAACAGGAATATAGACCCTTCTGATGCTTGTTTAAAAGTGTGAGGACTTGCTGAGGTGCCTGGGTAGCACAGCTGGTTAAGTGTCTGATTCCTGGTGTCAGCTGAGATAGTGATCTAAGGGTTGTGAGATGGAGGCCCATTGGGTTCCATGCTCAGCACAGATCTGCTTGAGATTCCCTCTCTCTCACACCCTCTCCCCTTCCCACTTGTGCACACTCTCATAAATAAATAAATAAATAAATAAATAAATAAATAAATAAATAAATAAATCTTTTTTTTTTTTTTTTTAAGTGTGGGGACTTGTCTTGGCACATGCATTAAAGATGGTAAAGACTGGTCACAGGCAAAGCAGAGAGCTCTTCAAAACTCACTATCAAAAGCTCAATCACTTAACCCCAGGCAGCAGAGCATAATTCAAAGAGCATGGCCTCAAGGGCCATGTGGATCTGAATGTGAATCCAGCTACTGCCCCTCACTAGCTGGGTGACCCTGTGCAATCACCCCATTTCTCTCTGACTGCCTCTTTCTTCAAAGATCAGAGCCCCTTGCAGGTCAGTGGGAAGGGTGAGAGACCAACATTCATAAGCACCCAGAGCAGTTCCTGGCACCTAATAGGAAGCTATTTCTACAGTGATTGAATGACAGTAGAAGAAATTCCCTCAGAAGTCATTAATTTGAGAGTGGTTAACAGTGACAGTGCCCAGAGTAATTTCTTGAAAAAAATATTCTCAGTTCATATAACATGGTTGCCTGCTCATATGCTGTGGAATTGCCTACACTGTCACAGTAACTGGTTTCCATGCCCTGAGATTCCCTCCTGTACTTTCACACAGAGGCAGCATCGTGCAAAAAAACGTCAGGCTCTGGACTAGGGCTCTCCTGGTACAAATTAAGTAAATGTTGCTTGGCTTCTCTGTGCCTCAGTGTCCTTGTCTATAGACATGTTCATACTAATGCCTATCACAAAGGACAACTGCAAAGATTAAAACATGATACATGTTGCCCTCAGCGGCCCTCCATAAATGTCTACTGGCTTTGGTGGGTGGCAGAGTGCAAGGAGGAAATGCAGAGCCCCGGAACTCACCTAAATACCCATGTGAGGCAAGACCACAGGCCCCTCTTTCGGTTCCTCATGAAAGGCACTGGACAAATGTTTTAAGAAATTCACCAGCACAATCAAAAAAAGGGAAGAGGCAGCCCGGGTGGCTCAGTGGTTTAGCGCCGCCTTCGGCCCAGGGCATGGTCCTGGAGACCCAGGATGGGGTCCCGCATCAGGCTCCCTGCATGGAGCCTGCTTCTCCCTCTGCCTGTGTCTCTGCCCCTCTTGTGTGTGTGTGTGTGTGTGTGTGTGTGTGTGTGTGTGTGTGTGTGTGTTCTCATGAATAAATAAATAAAATCCTTAAAAAAAAGGGGGGGGGGAGGAAGAAGAAGGTACTACATTATATTTGAGTAGGAAAGGGACCTTGGGGATCCCTGGGTGGTGCAGCGGTTTGGCGCCTGCCTTTAGGCCCAGGGCGCGATCCTGGAGACCTGGGATCGAATCCCACATCAGGCTCCCGGTGCATGGAGCCTGCTTCTCCCTCTGCCTGTGTCTCTGCCTCTCTCTCTCTCTCTCTCTGTGTGTGTGACTATCATAAATAAATAAAGAAAAAATATTTTTTTTAAAAAAAGAAAGGGACCTTGAAGATTGAAACATGGGAAGAAATAGGAGATGCCAGAAGGATCTGATCCCTGCCCCCTCATGGCCTTCAAAAGTCTGCATGAGCACAGAAGGTAAATCGAGTCCTGAGCATTCTCAGCAACACCTGCAAGTCTGAAGTGACACCAAGAGCACATGAAGCCATCTGAGGTGTGAACATGCTTCAAGCTTAGGCACTCCTTGCTTGCTGACTGAAGTTCCCTGGTCTGTCACAGAATTAACTAGCTTTCCCAGGGACTTGGAGACCGCTGGCTTTAAGGAGCAAAGGACTAGACCTCCCCATAAGATAAGACCTGACCACATTCAGAAATAGCTCCTGCTGATGCCAGCGGGTCTGGTCAGGTCATCTGGACATACAACTCTCCGCCTGGGCAATTGCTTCTCCTGCACACAGCTCCCCCTCCCTTCCCCATGTCCTCCCTCGGAACAGCCTCCAGCTTCCCCTACACAGGGAAGACAGCCTTCGTGACATCAGTCCACCGTCTCCCCATGTTGTTGGCTGCCTGAATATAGCAACCTTTCCTTTCCCACCAATACTTGTCTTTCCAGCATTGACTTTCAAGTGGGGAGCAGCTGAACCTGAGTTCAGAATTGTTTCTCTGCCTGGTAACAATGTGAACTGAGTTGGGGGTAGGTGGCTCTAGGAAATATGGTTTGTTTTTTGTTTTGGGTTTTTTTTTTTTTTTTTACTTTTTAAAAAATATTTTATTTATTTATTCATGAGAGGCACACATAGAGAGGCAGAGACATAGGCAGAGGTAAAAGCAGGCTTCCTGTGGGGAGCCTGACATAAGACTTGATCCCAGGACTCTGGGATCATGACCTGAGCCAAAGGCAGATGCTCAACCACTGAGCCACCCAGGTGCCCCAGAGATACGGTTTTAAAATCCCTTTGGAAAAGCAGCTCACAGGGTATATGTACCTCATGGCTCCAGAAAGGAAGACAGGGCCAAGACTGAGGGGCCGGGCCGATGCTCACAGTAGTGGGACTCACCCAGGCCTCAGCCAAGGAGTCATTTCATGGGGTTTCATAAGGAAAAGCAGGACTCCAGGGCTTTGGCAAGGGCAGTGCTCAGCCTGCATGGGCCCTCCCCATCATCTCCTGGACGCTTACAAAAAGGCTAGCAGGCAACATCTGTCTCTGACAGGGGACAATAGACTGGGATGAAGGTGATGGGACAGGAGTCACACACATGGGAGCCAAAGAACACAGAGATGGAGGCAATCACATCGCACATGAGCGAGACAAAGTGTTGGCAGGTGCACGTACTAACATCTACCGCTATGACAGGCAAGTCAACAAACAGAGGCAGAAGGATTGCGAAAACAGAGCCAGACAACCAGGAAGAAAACATAAACCAAGAAATAGAAGCTCCCTGCAAGTACTTCGTGGAACTCAAGATCCTAATAATATAAATCCAACACCAGAAGCACTCGAGGTGATAAACGGTTGGAGTATGATTATAGGAAACTGGCGACAGAACTAAGGAAACCAATTACAAAGTGAGAATTAAACCCTCACCACGGCACATCCAATAAATAATGTGAAAACAGCAACAGACAGAGTAGACATGAGCGAAAATCACGGTACTGGTATGGGGGAAGGCATGAGATCGCCACAGTAACTTCGTGGAGGCAAGTGATACGGGATTAATTACAATGAAGGGGATCTGAATGGTGGCTGGGAGTTTTTTCCCTTAACTCTAGAAACGAAGGTGTCTTACCATGAAGGAGCACAGGGCTGAAGTTTAGAATTAACTTTAATTTTGCTTCAGTGCGTTTTCTATTAATTTCAGATAAAAACAGTTGTTTGAAACACACAGAGTGTTATTTCCTTTTAGCTCGCATCTTCTATCGCTATATGCATGGAGAGATTTCTGAATTTATGGCCACCTAATATAAAAAATAGATCATTTCTGGATGGTAGAATTCTGTTAATTTATTGCTTTTGCTGTTAAACTTTTCTATGTTGCTTAGTTTCTTAGAAATATGCATTATTTTAAAATATAATTATTTTATTTATTTTTTAAAAGATTTTATTTATTTATTCCT